GCATGTGTGTGTGTGTGTGTGTGTGTGTGTGTGTGTGTGTGTGTGTGTGTGTGTGTGTGTGCGTGTGTGTGTGTGTGTCTGCATGTGTGTTTATGTGTGTGTGTATTACACAATACATGCGTCCACATCCAAGTAAGCGTACACATCCGTACAATCATGCACTTCGGTGAGACATACCTTATTTTAAATGCCAGCAGAGCCACCAGCAGACAGAGCGGGCTGTGAGATTTAATAGCAGAGACATCGTGCTCTGGGTCAGCTGTTTGGCATTAGCTAAGGGTTTTGTTCTGCTCAGAAGTCTCGTGGATTCCGCCGCAATATATGGTGTCGGGGGCTCAGGGCTATCCTTGGACTTCGGGCTCTGAGGCGAACGTCTCACGGCCCCCCTCTGTCCCGGGGCGAGAGCGACCTTGCTCTCTCTCGCTCTCTCGCTCTCTCTCGGTCGCTCTCTCTCTCTCTCGCTCTCTCTCGCTCTCTCTCTCTCTCTCTCTCTCTCTCTCTCTCTCTCTCTCTCGTTCTCTCTCTCTCTCTCGCTCTCTCTCTCTCTCTCTCTCTCGCTCTCTCTCTCTCTCTCTCTCTCTCTCTCTCTCTCTCTCTCTCTCTCTCTCTCTCTCTCTCTCTCTCGTTCTGGTTTTGTTTTTCTCTGTCTGTCTCTTTCTCTCGTTCTGGTTGTCTCTGTCTCTGTCTCTTTATCTTTCTTTCGTTCTGGTTCTGGTTGTTTCTATCTCTCTCTCTTTCTCTCCTTCTGGTTTTCTTGCTTTTTCTGTGTCTGAGTCTCTGTCTGTCTGTCTCTGTCTCTCTCTCTCTCTCTGTTTCTTTCTCAATGTTTATGCATGTATGTATGCATGTCTCTCACTCTCTGCCTGTCTGTGTCTCCGTGTCTGTTTGTCTATCTTTATCTCTCTCTCCCTACATTCCCCAGAATCAACGACGCGCGAGAGGAGACAACTAGGCATCTTTTTGATATCATTTCTCCTTTCTCTCTCTCTCTCTCCCCCTCTTCCCCCCCTCTCCCTCTCTCTCTCTGTCTCTCCTTCACCTCTTCTTCCCTTTTTATCGTCTCTTCCATGCATTTTTCTCCCCTCTATATCAGAAGTGGATGTCTCTTATCAACCGACTTTTAAATCACGTAGAGTGCCTAACTCTCCGGCTCTGAGGCACGGTGCCAACCCATCGCTCGCTTGGCACTTCCCCTACTGGTCCCAAAAACAAGCTGCGAGCGAACCTCACTGACCGGACCTCGTATGCCAAAGATGCCTTGATTATTCGTCCCGCCTTTCATGCCCCATGCCTCTCACACCCCAAGGCTTTCACGCCCCGCGGTTTACGCCACTCCAGGATTTCACAACTGCTGGCTTTCACACCCCGCGGTTTCCTCAAGTTCAGGCTTTTATACGTTGCGGTTTTCACAACTCTTGGCTTTTCATGCGCCGTGGCTTTAACAATCCCAGGATTTAGATGTTGTAGTTTTCACAATCTTTCGTATCTCGAGACTTTCATACAATCTTTTACAACTATAGGTTTCACACTCCTTAGCTGCCCTGCCCCCTGGCTATCTTCACCCGTGGTTTTCACAGCACCATTTCACAACTTTTCACACTCCCCGGCTTTTGCATACCCGCTTACAAGCCTAGATTTTTACACACCGTAGCTCACACCCCGCGGTTTCCTCAAACTCAGGTTTTTCTACGTTGCGGTTTTCACAACTCTTGGCTTTTCTTACGCCGTGGCTTTAACAATCCCAGGTATTAGATGTTGTAGTTTTCACAATCTTTCGTACCTCGAGACTTTTACACACTCTTTTACAACTATAGGTTTCACACTCCTTAGCTGCCCAGCCCCCTGGCTAACTTCACCCGTGGTTTTCACAGCACCATTTCACAACCTTTCACACTCCCCGGCTTTTGCATACCCGCTTACACGCCTAGGATTTTTACACACCGTAGCTCACACCGCGGTTTTTCGCACCACCCTATTTCTCACACCCGCGAGGTTTTTCATATATTCTATCTCTCCACACCCCGGCGATTTTTCTCACACCCGCGGTTTTTCATTACACTCTATCTTTCCAACACCCGCGGTTTTCTATAATATTCTATCTCTCACACCCCGCGATTCTTTCTCACAACCGCGGTTTTTCATACCACTATCTTTCACACCCCGCGGTTTTTTCATATATTCTATCTCTCACACCCCGCGATTTTTCTCACACCCGCGGTTTTTCATACACTCTATCTTTCACACCCGCGGTTTTTCATACACTCTATCTTTCACACCCGCGGTTTTTCATACACTCTATCTTTCACACCCGTGGTTTTCACAGCACCATTTCACAACCTTTCACACTCCCCGGGTTTTGCATACCCGCTTACAAGCCTAGGCTTTTTACACACCGTAGCTCACACCCCGCGGTTTTTCGCACACCCTATTTCTCACACCCGCGGTTTTTCGCACACCCTATTTCTCACACCCGCGGTTTTTCATATATTCTATCTCTCACACCCCGCGATTTTTCTCACACCCGCGGTTTTTCATACACTCTATCTTTCACACCCGTGGTTTTTCGCACACCCTATTTCTCACACCCGC